GCAGGCACCTACACACACACAAACACACACACCTGACCTCTGCAGGAACCTGCACACGTGTGCAAACACACACACCTGACCTCTGCAGGCACCTGCACACGTGTGCAAACACACATACCTGACTTCTGTTGGCACCTACACACACATATGCAGACACACTCACCTGACCTCTGCAGGTACCTACACACACATGCAAACACACACACACACACCTAACCTCCGCAGACACCTACACATACACATGGTTAGTAATGAAAATTTTTCAAAAATTAAATTAATCTGAATGTCAGATTCCTTTCAGTGATTTTTCAAAAGAATCTAGGAACATGTATAGTTTAAAAGGTAAATAAATAACATATCTATAATATAATGGACATATCCACACTTCAAGTTAATTGTTATGAAGAAATAAAAATAAATACATTACTCTTTATGAAACATTAATATTTACATGTTTATACCTTAAAATTATCACTTAGCTTTTCTTTCAATGTATTCTAAAATATGTTTTTCTTCATTTTCCATTTTCATGTGTGTATGTGGTATGCATGTGTATGTGTATGCACATTTGCATGTGAGTGGGCACATATGTGAACAGGTACATGTGGGTTCTACATGCATGCACATAGGTGTGCCCTGCACACGGGTGTACATGTAGAGACCCAGTGCTGCTGTCCTGAATCATTCCCTATTCCTGTTCCACCTTCAACGAGGTAACGTTGCTCAGTGATACCCAGAACTTGCACCTATAACGGCTGCTCTTGCTAGCTAGCCACAGGCTCCCACGCCCATCAGATGTTTATGTCCACTCCAGAGATCTGAACTCCGGTCTGCAAGCTTGCACCACAAGCACTTTAGCCACGGAGCCATCTCCCTAGCCATTAATATCTTAATAAACCCAAAGAACAGTATTAAAAGGATACCTCAACTAGGAATCACAAACTATGAAAACAGGAAAAGCACACCATCCCCAAACTGCGCTAATTCGGGCTCATTTCCTTTGTAAACTGGTCAGGTCTAGTATTCCACAGGATCAAGTCTAGCTAACCATTGGGAGGGAATGGAAAGTGTTAAGGAAAACTTCAAAGGACATAATTATTGCCAAGAAGAGAAAATATAATTTCTGCAAAGCAATTTTGTTAAATCCCTCCCTTTACAGAACAGAGGGCTGATGAACTAAACATGGTGGCTGTACTCACCACATCCCTGTCAATCCGGGCTGCCACCATCTCAGGAGTCTCTTCTTGCTCGTGATAATGCCGGGGTTTCTCAACTAAAAGGAAAGGAGAATTGTTAGACTTCCCATGTTTGTTAAAACAACACCAATATAGAAATGAAGATGGGAAAATGATGAGAAAAGAATTCCAGTTGCAAGGGAGTCTCTCTGGAATAAACAAGTCAATATGATACCAGTGGCCCATGTTGCTACATCCTTGCTACAGTTACCAGGAGAACTACTGGGAAAAGCTAGGGGATTGGCCTGCCTACACATAGAAGATTCATTCAGCTGTTACACCTCCTCTCTTCTCCCTTTTCCCTATTTCAGCTCTCAGTAAGGCCAACCCTGACCCAGCACTCTAGTTTCTACAGAAGACACAAGCCAGCATTTAAGCATCTCTTGTGAAATAGTAATGAATAGTAATGAAATAAGTTCCAACCCAATAGGGCTGCTAGCTTCGTGTGTGTGTGTGTGTGTGTGTGTGTGTGTGTGTGTGTGTGTGCGCGCGCGCGCGCATGCACGCGTGCCCACAGATGCTTGGAGGGGTGTGCCTGTGCATGTGTGGTTGCATGCATGTGTATGATTGGAGGGTGTGCCTGTGCACATGTGTGTGTGCATGCATGTAAACTCCAGAGGTCGAGCTTAAGTATCAATCTCCATCTCCCTCCATCTATCTTTTGAGACAGTCTCTCACTGAACTGGAAGTGGCCACTTCCTGGAGCAAGCTTGGCTGTCCAGCAAGCCTTAGGGCTCTCTTGTCCTCCCCGCCCCTGAGCTGGGATTACGGACACACATCATTATACCTGGCTTTTTCACCTAAGCACCAGGGATGGAATTCAGTTCCTCATGCTAGTGTGTCAAGCACTTTCCCAACTGAGCCATCTTCACATAGGGCTGCTGCTAGTCCCTCCACATCCCAACCTCGTGACTACAAAAAAAGGCTTTGCAGTTCTGAGAGTACAGTCATGTCTCAGTTCTTGTAACTAAGCATAAAACCCACAACATTTGGTTCATTGATCTTAAATCATATGCCTTGAAATAAATACCTTCAGGAATTTGCAAAATCAAGAATATATTTCTCAAAAGCATTCAGAATGTTAAGGCAGCTCAGATGTGCATGCTTAACCATGAGATCTCCACCACAGCCTCCTTTCTGAGGTGAGTCAGTTAGCACTATGGTAACGTCGACAGCTGGCACGGGTACTTCAGAGTACATTACATTCAAAGGCATATGGCTGGGACAGGAGCAACAGATCACAGGAGTGGAGATGGAGCGCATGATACATCATCGTGACTCACGAGGTTTAATGCAGAGAACTGGCAAAACATACTGGAAACTCGGAATCTCAATGCCGCCTCTATGCTAGCATTGCCTAGGCATGGAGTATGTGCAAAAAGAAAAAGGAATCCCCAGGCCATATGAAACTGCATTATTAGATACAATTATTCACGCTCCTTAATCGGTGTGTAGCAAAGCTTGCCAGTTAGCTGCTATCTTACTCAGGGCTGCTGCTTGCTTGGTACAGAGTACCATGGAAGGCAGGAACTGAACTTGACACATAATCATTAGGAACTCCAAAGAGGGTGGAATGTAGGGGCTCTTGCCTGCAATCCCAGCACTCTGGAAGCTGAGGCAGGGATGTAATGAGTTCAAGGCTGGCCAAAGCTACATAGTGACACCGCCCCCTCTCTCCCTGCCCCGGCATCCAGGGCTCCACAGGAAGACTCTGTCTCAAATGAGGAAGAAGAGGGATATCATCATCTGGGGACAAAATGAGCAGAGGTTACTTGTTTCCAAAACATTTTGGGGACTTAGGCACCATGGCCACCATACTGGTGAACTCATTTTGGGAGGAAGACAGGGTTACTCCACCTCTGAGTTCTAAGAGGCAGCAGTCAGAGATGACAAAACCTTGAGAAATTGCAGGGAGAACCTCCCTCAGAGGATTCCCAATGAGATTCTCTGGCACTCACACAGAACTCTGTATACCGCATCTTGAGTTCTGTTTGGACAAGCAGTAAGCCAGAATTTGAACCTTATTTATTTATTTTATTTTATTGTAATTTTAACAGATGACAAGGCCAGGATATTTTACACAAAATCTAATGAGCGCTCAAAAATACCTGTGTATGAATTCCTTTACTGTAAAATTATATTAGGTTTCATATACGTTCCTACACTCTATTCAGGATGTCTTTAACTTAAGATGTCTTCTCTTTATGTCAAGACAGTTTTGATACCCCTCTCTTTCTCACATGCACATACACACACACACACACACACACACACACACACACACACACACACACACAACAACAACAAAATAACTATCCAGACCCCTTTCCACAAAAATAACACCAGCAAAAATCACCTTAAGTCCACAACAAGCACAGATCATTATCAATCCCAGTCTTTCAAAAACCAGTTTAAATACAAAGAGGATTGGTAGAAACCTATGTAATTCCTAAAGCATAAGTTGCTAATGTGACAATGATGCTTACATTCCTCTGCTGGATATGATTACTGTATCACTTGCTTTTGGAGTCTCAGAAACCTCTGAGTCATTATGCCCACTTTACAGATGAGGCTGAAGCATGAGAGGATGTTCTCCCATGGTAATATGGGGAGAGAGATCCAGGTCTTGTTTCAGGTCTCATTTTTTGACCCACAAGATTAAAAGTCTACCTATCATTAAAGACATTGCACACTTCAGTCTAGCCATGGAGAAATCAAGCTGTAAGCTTCTTCCCTACCTATAACATGTATAGTTCCAGAAGGTGCCATGCAGACTGTTGGGGAAGAATAGTTCACAACAGTCTTGCCCAGCTGTGACCCTATGAGCTATAATGACCATGGAGGCACAGTGTGTCATCTAGTGCAATAGTGCCACGGACATTATGGGAGTCATCAACCACTTTCTGCTGGGATAGGACGGAGGCCTGCTCCACTGATGGGAACTCATGCTTGGTTCTGTAAAGCCGGTCAAGAGCCCATGGCTGGGGAGGTCATAGCCCTGGTGTAGAGCATTACTACTAATGTTTTGCTAAATGGTTGTGTTATCAAACTGCTTTCTAAATATTCGAGTTTATACTCACAGATTAGTGGTGTACTAAGCCTTCATTGGAGAAGCTTGTTCTGCAGCATGTGGTGGCCCATGCAGAAATATAAAACTGGCCAAAGAACCAAGAACAAGCGATGGTAAGAATGCTCCTCTCTAAGTGGAATAGCTGTATTGGTTTCCCCAAGTCTCAGGAAACATTATCAAGGGGCAGAAAGAACATGTGGGCCAGAGGACAGAAAGATGGGTAGCAAAAAGATGTCTTCTGGACACGGCACAGCTGACATGCTCATGAGCTCACAGCGGCTATGGTGACCTGCATAAGACAGCACATCACTGTGATATGGGGGCTCTCATGAGGTCCACCCTCTTGAGTGACTATTGCTAGTTCGTGGTTTGGGGAGAGGGGGTGTTGTTTTCTCCAGTGGTGTAGCCCCTGATAAGTTTCCCTTGCACCAGTAAAGAAGTCCCTACCCATGCTCAGCCAAGAAACTCTAATTAAATTCAGTGGCCACATGCAAAAAAACCAACACAGAAGTAGGAAGGGACTGTTGGGAAGGAGGGTTTCAGTGAGAGTGGGAGGGAGATGAGGAGGACTAGAGGTTGAATAACTAAAATTTCTTACATAAATGTACAAAGAATCTATCAAACAAAAAATCAGCAAAAATATTCAGTTTAATGTAACTCATCTTGGCAAATGACTTATGTTGCTGGCTATGAATTATCCAATGGAATAATACATGGTTGGATAAAGCATAGATAATTTAAGAAGTACCAGAGGGTGGCATGCTTGCACACACACACACACACACACACACACACACACACACACACACACACTAAATAAATATACTGTTCAAGTTTTACTTAGTGGTAGGCTGTAATTGTTTTTGCAAGCATTGTCAACAAAATACAACGGCAAAGCCATAGGGCCCATATGACAAGACTAGTCAGGGCCAGCTCCTTTCTCCCTGTCTGTGCTGACACCTTTGATCAATACACAAGAGCTGTCCAATGAATAGAAAGATTCTGCAGTAAAATATTTTAGAAAAGAAAAACCCCAATGGGCTTCTCTTTGGAATATATTCTATTATCATGTTTGTCATTGTGAGTCAAGTGTAACTTCCTCTCTTGGTATTAAAGAAATAACTGTAACCTAATAGACTATCTATTAAGGGGCTGGCATGAATTCTCAGGGATAATAACCTTAATAGCAGTCAAGCTTAACTCCCTAATGTCTAAGATTTAATTCCTTAAAACTAACTTTGACCAACAAATCAACGTGAGAATTTGGAAGAATGAATGGCATCACTACCCAAAGTGGATCTCAGTGAGGTTAGCGCTGGATACTTACAGTCACCCTGGTCAGCTGCCCAGGCAGACCAAGCTGCCACCCGGCTTCTAACGTCCACCTGTGTGACAGTCCCTGGAGGGGCAGGGGCAGGAGCCCGGGGAGGAGGGGGGATGCCCGGCTCTGCGTTGGCAATCATCCTAAAGGTGAGAAACAAATTGGGCTTTTACAATCTCTATTTTTGTAACAGCAGTTCTCTCCATTGGTGGGATTTGCCCTTCAACCTCAGGAGTAGCTGTCAAGGAAATAAGGATCCCAAATCAACTCCACTGTGGCTGCTCATAAATTCCCGAGACCCAGAAATACAGAAAAATTCAAATTCCCTGGGAAACCACACTGAATTTTTCCTCTAGGTCACATGAGATTTGAAAATTCTGTGAGCACATGTTTATACAGGGGGCGACCCTGGGTCACCTCCTAAAACAACATACATCTTTTCTAACTGTCTGGGACATCTCCACACATATGAGAAGCTGTGTGGGAGACAGGTGATACATGGAGAAACAGGAAGGGACACACATAGACTGGCAAGCCAGCGAGAGCAGATGAGTCGAGACTACAGGTTGTAATTTAGAAAACAGAATAATTCACCTCTACGGAAAACGATTTCTGTAAACCTCTGGGAGGAAAAAGTAGACATAGTATCCAATCCCATTCACTGTCCGTGCTCTTACCTCAGCGCCTCCGGCCGCCTCTTCTGTTTCCCGCCCTTACTGTCGCTGATTGCACTCTCAATATCCTCACTAATGAGGTTGGCCTGGAAAGAGAGATGAGTTGTGGGCTTGTCTAAGTTTTGATATGAAGATTGAAACAGGAAAAAAAAAAAGATTTATACCTACTGTTTGCATCAGTAAGTATCTTGGTATAACTTTTTTTTTTTAACAGCTGCCTTAAAAAATATGACTCTGGCTTTTAGTGGTGAATTTTATAATGACAAATTCAGAGACTGATTTTTAAGGTTAATCGAAGTCTGGATTCCATTTAAAGGTTCGTATCCAAAAGCCCAATATAAACAGGCAAATGCACAGGGGACATGGGTGAGGGTCTCCGCTCTGTTAGAAAGGATGGAGGCAGGCAAAGGCGTGCATGGCTGGTGGGTCCTCTCCTTCTTCTCCCTCCCAGGAGCAGCTGTTAACTCACCAACACAATCACCAGTCCCAACACAGACACTCTGAGCGTGAGGCAAACCCTACTCATATGGTTTGGGTCTGCAGTATCCCTGGAGATCCACATGTTGAAGGCCTGGTTACCAGCCTTCAGTTGAGAGTGGAAGGAAGAGAAGTCATTGGGATGTGCCCTTAAAGGGGATATCGGGATTACATGCTACTTCCTGTCTCTCTCTTTTCACTTCCTGCTTTCCAGGAAGTCAGCAGCAGTTCTACCACATACTTTTTGCTACCACAGACTTTTCCACCACAGGCCCAAAAGCAATGCACCAAATAACCATGGACTGAAGCCCCTGAAACCAAAAGGAAAACAGACCTTCCCTCTTCATAAGTTTTTCAGCATGGGCGTTTTGCCACAGTGATGGAAAGCTCACATAGCTCTCCATGCATAGGCTGAATCTCAACTCCAGATTGTCTCCATTTTGATAAACACTTTGTTTTTCCATTTCAGGTAAAAATTATCTATCTGTCACCACAAGCTTTTCCAGCGTTCTTCCAACAAGACCAATGATTAGATTTTCTTGGGAACCCATATTAGGCTTGTAGTTTAGGTGTTAATTTTGCTTGGTTATGAAATTTATTTGTAGCCGGTAATTATCACGGTATATGAGGTTGTTGCTCATGTATTCATCTACTATTTTTGTGCTTACTTGTTCTCTGTAATTATGTACATTTTTCTCAGATCCATGAGTCACATACTCTAACAGTAAGCACTGATGAGTATAAAAATTTAGAACTGATGGGAATCTTCAAGATCATCTAGTCTATTGGGGGGGGGGGAGAGGGAGGATGTGTGTGTGTGTCTGTGCACACGCGTGTACTTGCACAGTGGTACACATGTGAAGTCAGAGGACAACCTCAGGTGATGTCCACTGTGGGAATTCGTTCTGCCAATGGCTTTCCCCCATTGCATATCTTAATAAATCCCTGATATTCCTTAAACAGACTTTGGTGGATCTTGCTTACAGACGTCCTCATCTTGTACCTTGCTTGAGGCAGGACCCTTTGCTGGTCTCCACTCCATAAGCTGGGCCATTGCCGCAAGCTTGGAGAAATTCTGTCTCTGTCTCCCACCTCCCTGGAGGCGCCCACGGCCACAGCTGGGTTCTGGGGTTCAAACTTTGGTTCTCAGACTTGTGCATCAAGCACTTCATCTACTGCACCATCTCCCCAGCCCTTGTTTAGTCTCCTTTATACTTAATACTCTGAGGAAAACAAGGTGAAATGCCTGGCCTGAGTCATGTTGACAATGACATGGCACTGGGATGGGTCCCAACCCTGTGTCATTTCCTTAGAACAGTTGGGTTCCAACAAGATGTCCAACATGAGGTCAAAGGTCTAGTATATGGAGGATTAAAACTTGGAGTGTCTAGAACCCTGAACTTCTATGAACAATGTTACCATCCTAAAGGAGGCAAATGTACCATGTGGCATCCCATCATAAAAATTTTTAACTCAAAAAGTATTATCACAAGATGTTCCACACACAAACCAATTACTCCACATACCAAGGTACTTGCATTTTGAATTCACAAGGAAAGCATGCATCATGGAGGGAGAGTGACATCAGTGAGTGAGTGGGTTTCTTCAGTAAAGTGGGTATGAGCTTTGGTGAGAACAGAGCATGGTCCAGAAAATCCATGTTGAGCCATCAATTTCACAATCCCATAGAAAAGGAAAGCCTTTCGTCTTAGATGCTGAAGTCCAGAACTCAGGATAGTAACTAACATCTCTCAAATAGTACTTAAAAGCATGGATACAATCACAAAATTTGAATGTCTTTTGACTCAGTATTCTCTGCCTCTCTCTCTCTACATATATATGTGCATATAGTATACATATATATGTATACACATATATATGATAGATATAGATATATAGATATCCATCTCCTCTGAATTAGGCCAGCAAGATGGCACAGTTGGTAAGGGCACTGGTTGCCAAGCCTGACAACCTGAATTCAATCCCTGGAACTCACACGGTGGAAGGAGACAATCAATTCCTACAAGTTGTCTTCTGACCTCCATATGTGATACCCCTCCTCAATAAAAAAAAATGTGAAAATTAAATGCAAATTATTGATAAAATTTTGCTCTGTTTTGGAGCAAAATATTCACCTCAACATTTTTGCTTTAAATTATCTAGATCCTCAAAATCATTATAATAATTCACGGATTCCAAAAGCACTATAGTACATAAAAAGTTCTTGAACATCAAACTACAAGTTACTTAAATGACACAGTTCCTATCAAGTAACATTTTTACAACCATCTATGGAATAAGTTAAAATTAGAAAAAGTTGCAAAATGTGCTGTTAAAGACAGTGTTCATATGTCATGGTTAATGCCAAAGGCATGCTGCAGAGACCAGGTGTTTCTTTGCACGAGTCTACAAGTTCTCTACAAGAGAAAAGTTACAAATAAACCACTGCTCTGAGGAGGCACCATGGTGGCTTGAATAGAGAATTGTCCTTTGAATCTCCAACAGTAAAACACTGGGTGTCCAGTCCGTGGTGCTGCTTGGTAATTAGGCTGTGCAGCCTTCCTGTAGGAAGCAGGTCACTGGGGGCGAGTTTTGAGATTAAAAGTCTTGGAGCACTTCCGGTTGGCTCTCTCTGCTTCTTGCTCCTGCTACTGGTGATACTGCCTGTGTGCTGCCATGCCAACCCACTGTTGTGGAATATTATTTTAAGGTGTGTTACTTTGTTTATGCTGTGGAACATTTGTTTAATGATACAAAGATGTGTCGCATTCGTTTAAGTTGCATTTGTTTAACTCTGTGAAGCTGTGTTACTGTGCCTATCTAAAACACCTGATTGGTCTAATAAAAGGCTGAACAGCCAATAGCAAGGCAGGAGAAAGGATAGGTGGGGCTGGCAGGAAGAGAGAATAAATACAAAGAGAAATCTGGGAATAAAAGATCAAGGATCGAGAGGAGAAGGGGAGGACTCCAGGGACCAGCCACCCAGTTACACAGCCAGCCATGGAGTAAGAGTGAAAGCAAGATATACAGAAGTAAAAAAAGGGGAAAGCCCAAAGGCAGAAGATAGATGGGATAATTTAAGTTAAGGAAAGTTGGCTAGAAATAAGGCAAGCTAAGGCCGGGCATTCATAAGAAAGAATAAGACTCCATGTGTGATTATGTGGGAGCTGGGTGGCAGACCCCCAAAAGACTCAAAGAGCTCAAAAAGTAAAACACAACCAACACCACCGACCATGACGGACTCCTGTCCCTCTGGAACTATAAACCGACATAAGCCCTGTCTTCTCTTATGCTGGCTTTGGTCAGTGTTTTATCAGAGTAACAGGACAGAAACTGAGACAGGTGCCAATCAACCAAAGGTAATTTCTCTTTTAGAGAAACCCACTCATGAAATAAAGGTATCAAATGTTGAAGATAAATTCTAAGGTTTAATAAAGCATTACAAATTACAATCATCTGGAAATTATAGCATACACTAAATATAAATTTTGGGGGCTCTAGCCTATTATTATTGGTAACTATGCTCAACTATTTCTTACTTTACTTAGAGATTACAAACACTGAACAATTTTTCAAGTCACATAATTAAATGGCAATTTTTTTTCAGAGCTGAGGACCAAACCCAGGGCCTTACACTTGCTAGGCAAGTGCTCTATCACTGAGCTAAACCCCCAACCCCTAAATGGCAAATTTTAAATCAATACTATGGGAAATTTTAAGTATCTTATAGAAAGAATACAAGCTCTGAGGTTAGTGAAGAACAAAATAGATTTGTAATATAATCATTTACTGTTTATGTATCCAACATAATTTTTACAACTGAATTTTAATTATATGTCCAGGGTCCCTGATGAAAATTTAATGCATCATCTAATACTTTGTAAACAGAGATAAACAACACACATCTATGTTTGACAATTTGAGATAGGGTCTCACTCTGAAGGCCAAGCTGGCCTCTGACTTGCCACAATCCTCCTGCCTCACCCTCCTGAGTGGTAGAATAACAAGTATGAGCCATCATGCCACACACTGAGTTTTTAAAAATAGTAGTAATCAGATTTCCTCTTTTGTTGAACTGAGTGGAAAATTAAGGGAGACATTTAGGTACTTGTTTTCCTTACCACATTCTCAGAATCTTAAGCCCTAGCATCTAATAGTTGTATGACCACGATGGGTCATTTGAAAGTGGCAGAATGTTGCATAAGAGGGTTGGGAATGAGCTGGGACCTGAAAGATGCCCCGGCAGTAACCAGCACTTGCTGCTCTTGCAGAGGATGGGAATTTGGCACTTAGCACCCATATCAGGCAGCTCACAAAGGCTCATAATCCCAGTTCTGGGGATCTGACACTCTCTTCTAGACTCTCTGGGTACACACACACACACACACACACACACGCACACGCACACGCACACACACACACAAATAGCAAGGAGGTTGAATCACTCTTTTACCTTAACTTCATCACACTGGAAGAGATGAAGATCTGGCTTGTTCTGGGTTGGTTCTTTACACACCAAGGCAAGAATGGAATCATAGCTGCATGAATGCACCACAGCTTGGCAATGCTGGATTGTGTTTAAAGGAAAATTCTCCAATTCATTCTATAAAAAAAAAAAAAAAACCCAAACATAAATATTTTATAGTGTCAAGCTCCCACTCATGCTCAAAAATCTGTGTTGATTTACATTCTTGAAAAGTAAAATAACATAAGCTCCACACACTTGCCTTGGATTCTAAGTCAATCAGACTCACAGCCCGGTCGTCCACTTGAAGAATCATATCTTGAGTCCACACTTTGCCCTTGGCATCAAGCAACTTCAACTTCCTTATTCCGTCATCGACAGTTATCATAGCATCTTTCCGGTCCAGCACAAAGGTGGTCAGGTGCTGTGGTCAGCAAGACAAGAGAGAAGAGAAAAACTTCTAAGACACAAATAAACTCTTCTCTGTACATGTTGCCCAAAAGGAAGAAGAATTTGCCTAATAGAATTCAGCTTGCAGTGAATCAAAGGAAGAACACAGCATGCTGCAACTTCAGTCACTCTATTGGGAGGATGGAGCTGAGTGGGGCTTGGTGTGATGGTATTGTGTTACAGCTTGGTGAACACAGAAAACGATGTCTTGACTTGTAAGATCTCTAAATCTGTCTCATGCCGAGTCACATGGAGCTGCAATGGCAGGTCATATAAACAAACTCTTAGCAATAAAAACACATACACAGCATTCTCCTTAAACTAATGATCCCCCACCTTACTCAGATAGCTAGTTAGATGTTGCCTAATAGCAACATTCCCAGTGGTGGTTACATCCTAGACACCTACCCCTGAGCAGGAGCTATGGCTCTGCTTTGTAACAACTGCCAAGTCTGCCCTCTCCCGCCACCACTTTCCTGAAACAAAGTGGTTTAGATTTAATGAAGCATGCTTGAGATAAGCAGAAAACTGAAAACAGCAATTTAAAAATGATGCCCCAGCTTACATATTTTCAGCTACAAACTGGGGTTGTTTTGATTCCAATTAAGAGCAAATATCTTCAAAACTAAAAAGAAACTAGCGTTTAATAAGAGCTAATAATGACATTAAATAAAACTGAGCTACTCAATGGATCAAAGCTTAATTTCTCTTGTTTTAACTGGGCTGGTAATGGCCAATAAATAGCAGTTGTGATTTTAGTGTATTTATTATGAAACTGGAACAAAAACTTTCACAGTAGTTTTACATGTAACATCTCAGTTTAAGAAAAAATCTAAAGGAAAGATCCATACCACTTAAAATACATCCTATTCAAACGAACTGAAACAGACTTCTGATTTTTCTCCCATATTTCTGCCCCTTGAGAGTCATCCTACATATTGGCAAGAGCGAAGTTTCTCACCTCCACTCGGTACTGGGACACATCTGATACGCTGCTGACGCTGTCTCGGGCATAGTTCTTCCTTTGCTCTGAAAGGGAAGTTTGGAAAGCCATTATTGAGCTACTAATAGGCTTGCGTTCATATGTTGGAGTCACATGGCACCTCTGAAGCTAGTCTGTCTCACATATGAATACAGTAGCTGACAAGTCCCCATTGTGCCCCGTGTCTGAAAACACTCATTATTCACAGGCCATCCCAAGGTCACGAGAAAGACTAACAATACGCAACAGCCCTTGGACCCAATTTAAATCTTCAGAGTTCCAAATGTTAAGATTATAAATGTCCTAGGTTTTAAAGGTGTTTTTTTTTTAATTTTGTATATACAAGTATGCTGGTGAGAATATATGTACATAAATACAGGATCCCGAAGAGGGTAAGAGGAGGCTTTGGATCCTCTAGGGCTGGAGTGACAGGCAGTTGTGGGCTCTTCAATGTGGGAGCTAAGAACTGAACTCTGGCTCTCCACAAGAAGAACGGCAAAGCTGTCTTTCCAGCCCCCACATTATAAGAGAAAAAAGCCATTTAATATATAGGTTTTGGGCTGGAGAGATGGCTCAGCCGTTAAAGGCTGGGCTCACAAACAAAAATATATAGGTTTTATTAATCAAGTACCTACTGTTTACGCAAAAGGTTTTAAAAAAAACAGGTTGCAAATTTCATCTGTTGATGCACCGAGGTTAAAACACAACAGTAAAACCTGTCATGGGTACTGGATTATATGAGGGAGGTGACAGTCACCACAGAGGTCATCTCCTTTCACAACACCCAAACCCATTCAATCCGAAGGTCTGTCACAAACTAACAACTGTCACACACCAACAGGACACACAAATGAGATACTCAGAATCAGAGAGCCGAGCTGGTAGGGAAAAGGAAGCAGCCAGGGAGGCAGCTGCTACACCAAGCTAGTCAGCGGGCAGAAGAAACCTTTCCTTGGGAAGATGCTGCAAAAGCAAAGAAAAAGTCCAAGAATTATCAATATTTGGTATTTGTAAATTTCCAATCAAGTAATTTATTTGGGAATTCGGGATTGCTTTATTTCTTCTAAGGTAGAATGCTTGTAACCTAGTGAGTGATCAGGGGACTCTGTTATTCTAAATATAGCTTTGAGTTTGTCCCTAAGTAAGAAACTAGATTTAGGCAAGGTTCGTAGTGGCCTGGGTCTCAGAGAATTTACAGTAAAATAAAAGGTTAAAAAAGTTCAAGTCCCTTAAAGCCTAAAAACCTTTGGCACACTTAAGTGTTTGTCCTAAGTTCTCTCTCTCTCTCTCTCTCTCTCTCTCTGTGTGTGTGTGTGTAAGTGTGCATGTATGTGTGTGTGAGATTGTCATACATAAAAATATCTATATTAATACAGATAGACACTAGATATGCATTAGCTTTCCTACCAGCCAGCATTTTCTAACTATAAACATGTTTCTTTTTACTCTTTGATATCTCTATCCTGAAAAGGTCTGCAAAAATTGAAGGAAAACTTAAGTAAAAAAAAAAAGAACATATGCAGACCCAAAGCATTAAAATCCAATGATTTTAAAAACTTGGTGGATGACTGATTTGCAATTCTGTGAAAGCGGTGATCTTCCCATCCACATTTACCCAGGAAAACCTCCATGTCCCTCTATCACTGTCCTTGTGTTCCAGTCCATTCTGGTTTTGCTTTTGCAGCATTCAAGTGACTCAATAAAAGCACACACACCACAAAATTCAACCGTGGCTACCTTTCTTTTTTTGTTTGGATGATGATCTGAAGAAGTACGCTCCATCTGTTCCTACCAAAATAATGTGGTCACAAGAGAGATCTGGTTTCACCTACAATGTTTTCCAGCATTTCAAAGCACACCTCTTCCCCTGTGACTGTACCTCACATATGAAGCAAAGAGATCCATGGTTTTTCTATTAGCTGAGGATTAATGTGGGATATTAATACAGGGACAGCTGCTCTTGGGAAACCCCTCTGTAACACGTGAAACACAATGTGTTACTCATGAAGACATCTGAAAAGAACACTTCTAGAAGGAACCACTACTTTAAAATTACAGGATCATCACATTCTCACTCAACTCTCCGGCATAGCCTCAGAACACGAGAGAGGCTGTCCTCCTGTGATGTGACCTGTGGATAGCAGAGCAAATGGCAGTGGCTGCCATGGTACCTGATGACATGGTGGCTCCAGCATATATTCAAAGGCTTGACTGGGTCTTCCAGATAAAATGACTGGCCAGCACAGGTAAAGGGCTAAAATCCTGCATGGGTTTTTATTATGAAGAAGTAAAAGTTCATCCCCCAGACTTCAGAACACACAGTATTTCATCCCCAGGAAAACATTATTTATAGGAGCAGAAAATGATTAGTGGTGATGGCAACTGCTCCTTCGGACTGACTGCCAGAGGTGAACTGTCATTCCTAATATTCCGAACTCGCTTTCTTTACCATGCTTCACATAAGGAAGATATATGCCACAGAAAAGTACCTTAGAAAAACCCTAAAATTTTATTAATATCATTAAAACGATTTAGAAAGAAAAGAATTCTGGTGATATAAAGTCAGGAGACAAAGTTCATTATTAACACTTTAATAGGCCATTTTGAAAGGACATACCTGAAAGTCAATTGTAGTGTCTCTTTTGATGAGAATTCTATACACTTATATGTTCAGTGGTAAATAGCATTCTGGAGTCTAAGCTGAAAACTTTTCAAGCCTCAGAACAGCATGAGAAGCATGAATGAGGCTTTCAATGAAGCCATCAAGAAGCCACAGAAAATCACCCTTTCTCAGTGGTTCTCATCCTTGGCTACCTATGACCAAGGGCTTTAAAAAACACCTTGTGAGCCCCGCCCTAAAGACTCTCATGTACAAGTCCCCTTTTCCCTTATAAACTACCATTTGCCCATGGGCCATGCCTGTCTCTTTATTCAGAAGCAATCAGTTGAACACACACACACACACACACACACACACACACACACACACACACACATATTCTCCATCTCCCTTGTTCCTTTACCCTTCTCCCTCATCCTCTGTTTCCTGTCTTTGTCTCTTATTCCCTGCCCTTTGTCCTTCTGGGGCAAATAAATGTCCTTTGTGCTGAGAACTTGGTCTTGGTGTCTTGTGTCAATACTAGTCCCTTTAATACCTAAGAACAACTTTATTTTCTTTGAGTAACACTAGTTGTGTTTCATTGCCTTTTTAATTTGTTTGTTTGTTTGTTTGTTTGCTATTAGCTTTAATCCCATGGAACAGAACATACCAATGCATTCAGACAGATTAGACCCACTAACCAATGAGAAAATTCTTTGCAGATCATCTTAGCACTGAGCTGATATGCTCTTACACAAACTGATAGCCATCTTGAGCCAGCAATATTACACTGCAGGCTCATTTAACTGTTTAGTTTGTACAATGGTACCTACTCAGGTAAGCGGGCATTGGTAAGGCTTGTTTTTATCTACTTTGCTCTATATGGCAACATTTGAAAGAGCTAATATTCAGACAAGCTAAGACTGAAAATGTTTACTTTTTCTTTCTCTAAAAAGGTATTGCTCAGAAAGAAATGCCTGGACCATTAAACAGAAATCATAAAAAAAAAAAAAGCTTCAAAGAATGACTTGATCTAAATAAAATAAGGGGCTGCATTCATATTGCCATATTCTTAACAGCAACAACAATTTCAACCAATAGCAACTCTAAGTAGCTTCAGGAAGTCCCTGAAACTGACCAGATTCACTAGGCACCTCCCTGTCAAAGTAAGCAAGAAGAGCTGAGAATCCTTCTCAGAACTGGAAAGATTCTCAGATCAGCAAAGCTTCAAGGAAGACTCAGACCAGACCAGCTGATGGGAAGAAGCAGAAACCAGCCGAGCTACCTGGAAGAGGTTTAGATCAACTGAGGCACCTGGAAAGAGTACTCCTCAACTTGCTGAGCTGCCTGCAGGCTGTACAGTATGCTCCTGGTTCCCAGCTTTGTGAGCTGTCACTCATGCTGGGGTGGGCTTTGGTGATACAGCAGTCTTTCAATCATTTCTGCTCCTGTAAGTGACCCTCACCCACATTCCTATAAGTAACCCTAGTGAAAATCATGGTTCACCAGACTGCACTTTGGTGGTATCTGCACTTTGGTCTGTCAAGGATTTCTTATGCGGTGTAAGAAGACATCTGGTGTGAGTAGACATGTGTGTTGTATCTCCCTATGTGTGCCTACTTCCTGCAGAGGCTAGAAGAGGGCATTAGACCTCTTGGAACTGGAATTATGAAAGGCTGTGAGCCACTGTGAGGGTCCTGGGAATTGAACCCAGGTCTTCTGCAAGAGCAGCAAGTGCCCTTAACTACTGAGCCATCTCGCCAGTCCCAGGATATCTACTTTCTTCATATTAAACTTTTGATCCACCTGGTTCTGTCACAGCATAACCCAAGACAAATTTCACCTTTCTTTCCTAACTGAAAGACATCAAAGGCCACTTGCTATTATGAAATAATGTCCACATCATTTTTATTAAAGAATTTCGTGGCCATGAAAGGGGGTGAGGGAGTGGCTACAGTGACTGTCAGAGGACCACTTTCAGATGTTCACTTTCTCCAGTCACTCCGTGGATCTGCAGGATCAAACCCAGATCCGGACTCTTGGAGGTGGCGGCCTGTATCCGCTACCCCATCTCTCTGTCCCCCAAATTATTTAGTATTCTTCTTAACATGGTGTGTGTTCATTTTTTTTTCCTCCTCTTATTTCTGAATGCATTACTTCACACTCTCCAGTTAACACCAAGCTCCCAGCAGTTCATTAATTCTTTATATTCATTCTACAAGGAGTTATTGGGCATAAATTATACATTAGCCACTGTGCTAATCAATAAGCACAGGAATTCCTGCCGCGAACAAGACAAACTTCATGAGCTGACTGCGGACATTAGATTTACATTGCTTTTTACAATATCCATGCACTCACCCCTACAGTGTCTGGAAAACACAGCAGACTTTTCAGAGCACACTTCCAGGCTCAGGTCCCCTGTGAAACCCCTGCTGACCACGCCCCATCAAGCAGAACTGCTGTCCTGCTACATCTACTTCTGAAATATATCCCCATGGATATTTTACTAACCTTTAATTAATATTTTGTTAAATTATTTATTTATGTTTTATACTATCTTATATGTGAATATATTTATTAATGTATTTTATTAGCCTTTTATTACAACAGTTTTCTATATATGGATATACAGTTTTTCCAGGAACATTTGTTAGAGTCTGTCTTAACTACAATGTATATTTTAGGCATCTCTGTTGAGACTCAGATCACTGTAGCTCTGTGGGATTAATTTATGGTTCCTTTCTTCTATTCCATCAGGTCACATGTCTGTTTCTGTTACTATGGCACTATAGGATAATTTGAATTCAAGAATTCCATTATCTCTAGCTTGTTTTTTTTTCTCGGGACTGTTTTGGCTACTTGGAGTCTTTGGTGCTTCCATATGAATCTTAGGATTAGCTTTTCCATGTCTCTGAAGTCTTTGCATTTTTCCGTGTCTTTGAAGTCATTGCAGTCTTGATGGGCATTGCAGTGAAATTAAGGATGCACAAGAGTAATTCTGCCAATCCACGAGATGGGACATCTTCTCATTCTGATGTTTTCCCCAGTGACCTGTTTCAGTCATCTTGGGTGTTTATTTTTATTTGTGAGGACACTATGAATGGGATTCCTTTCTCCCAATTTATTCTTGGCATAATCATTATTGATGCATAGAAAAAAATACTGGTTTTGCATTCTACTGCTCAGTTTTCTGTTAGAGTCTTTAGGGTCTTTTCAGCATAGGACATCCTGCCCTCTCCCTTGAAAATGTGGACACCTCGCCTTCTTCTCTCCCACGTGTGGACATCTCGCCTTCTCTCCCACGTGTGGACACCCTGCCTTCTTCTCTCCCACGTGTGGGTACCTTGCCTTATTCTCTCACATGTGTGGACACCCTGCCTTCTTCTCTCCCACGTGTGGATACCCTGCCTTATTCTCTCACAGCTGTGGACATCCTGCCTTATTCTCTCACAGGTGTGGGTACCCACCCTGCCTTATTCTCTCACACGTGTGGACACCTTGCTTGTTCCTCTAGCACAAATATCCTTCCACTCTTTTCTCTTACCTTATCTTGCTATGAATGATGATGGTGGATTTTGCTAATTATGTGCTGTTTTATGTTTAATGGTGTAGGTTGAAACTTTTTTTTTTTTTTTTGCATTCCTGAAATGAAGCCAACATGGCCATGGTTTATGATCTTTTTGCTGGCTGAATTCTACTTTTGCATGTATTTTATGAAGAATTTTTAAATCTATGTTGATCAAAGAAATTGATTTATAGTTTTCATTTTTGTTATTCCTTCTCCAGTTTTATTATCAGAATGAAATTGGCTTCATAAAGAGAATTGGATAGTGTTCCTTCCCTTTCTGCCTAGGGGGCAGTGTGGGGAGCCTTGGTGGTAATTCTTCTGGTAAGGCCTAATAGAATTCAGAAATGAATCCATATGCTCCTGGGCTCCTCTCTGCTTGAAGACTTGAAAGCTGCTTCTAACTCACTGCATATCTCTCTCTCTCTCTCTCTCTCTCTCTCTCTCTCTCTCTCTCTCTCTCTCTCTCTCTCTCT